CGGTTTTAGGAAGGGTAAGATATCAAATTGTTACATACAGTTTCCGTGTTTTTGAATTAATAATAATAATAACAAAAATATCATTTAATATTACATTTTTATAATAATTGGCGAAGTAGAAATCGACATGCTTTAAAGTAATAGCAAAATACAACCATAAAGACACGAAATAAAATATATTGTAAATAAATGATATAGAAATAGGTTAGGAGAAAAAACGGACGTTCTTTTTAGTATTTATAGTGACTTTACGGAATATGTATTGCTTGCTACGGTAAAACTTATTTCTGCTTTATAAAGGTACCGACAATCTCTTAGTTGCAAATCAATGGGGAATAAAACTTTTATATGAGACCAATTTTTTTTATAACAGTAACTGTCACCATTATTAAACAATGTTAGTTGGGTAGGTATGATAAAATATGTAAATATCAAAATATATACAATTATAATATAACATATGTATAATGAGGATGTTCCTTCGAAATTTTCAGTAAAGTATTAAATTACTAAATATCAACTTTAGCGTCATATACCACTTAACAACTTTAACAAAACTTGATTACAAATTTTTTAAAACCTGAATCTTAAATTCATTTTTTATAAAGTAAGCAAATCCAGCTTTAGCTTTACGTTTGCATTTTCTGAATGGAGTGGTGGAATAAAATAAATCCAAACGATGAATACAAATACAAGGATCTCTTCATTTACTGTATAAATCGGTTATTGGTCTTTCGCACGTATTGTCCAAATGCCCGTCGGTCTATTGGTTGTGCAATGAAAAATAAACAAACGCTAATTGCACGAAATTGGCCTATTCGGTTTTGCAAAACGGACCCCCGTCGAACTTCGACGATTTTCGAACACCAAGCTGTTACAGTTTCGTGAAATTTGTTTGTTAGCCGTTTGAAAATCGTTCATTTTTAAATAGTGACGCTGGCGATCCGTTCGTTTGGACGTTAAGCAACAACGTTGGAATTATTTTAATATTTAACCATAGTGTACATTATTTCGTGGGTATAAATCCCCGGGATAAAGTTAGACCGTTTGCTCCAGGCATTATCGTTACCCGGAGTCGTAAGCTGATGCCGAAACTTTTACAATATCTGCGCGGTACAGATTAGTGTGTTTGTCATGTTTCGAGCTCCAGTGGCTTTTGCGAAACGCCTTACGTTAACGTGATTGACATGATTGACGTATGCAAGCCGAATGTAAATCGATCCCGGCAATAGTCTGCTTTCGAATACATTAAATTGCAAATGAAATATTTTTTAAAAAGTAAAACATCTAGTCAACCATCCAACATTACTATTAATGAAATAATTTTGGACTTCCTGCATTTTATATAACTATTTTTAAAGATAAGAATGCATTTAGACTTGCCAACAAAAAAATTAAATAATAAATAAATTAATTTTGGAGGCTGTTAAGCCGTGGTTTTGCCACCAAAGTATCCAACTGCGGTACTGGTGTTGGCATCACAACATCAGATTTGAAAACACGGAAGTATAGTCCACGGACAAGCATCATTATGCAAGACTACATCGAGAGGTCATCGAAATACACAAATATAAAACAATTCTAACAAGAGAGATGGAGGGTTAAGAGTGAATAAAATATGGCACAACGTCTTAAAGAAAATACCCACGAAACCGTATACGAACTACTCGCCAAGGGGGCGGGCCGTACTCACACGCGCTCAGTCCGCCCTCCGTCCGAGCGATACAACACAGCTACGACTTCGATAACCGACACCAGTACACAAAGAACTTTCAAATATGAAACAACTGCTTCAAAATATACTTTTTTTAAAAACATATAGACATGTAAAAGTTGTAATTAAGGTTTTATGGTCATTTTTCGGTATATATAATAGCAGGTAGTTTGTAAATATTACGTTTGATTAAGACACGGTGTTGTCGAAACAATTGTCATGTCAAAATATATAATTTCGTGAAGATCTGAACTTTTAGTTCTTATTTATTTTGATAAATAGATTTTCATCAAGTAAAAGCCACCTCAGTTCAAATCTCGTAGACCTGTAAAACTTAGAAAACAGAGTGAATGACGCTTGTTAAAACTGGGGTCTATCTATTAACATAAATAAAACTAAATATATGACTGTGAGTAAAGTAGCTGTTGACTAGACCCTATTACTTTTAAATGGAGAACTGTTGGTGGGAGTTTCAAAATTTATTCATATGAAATAATATGCCGCATAGAACAAGCAAGAAATGCATTTCAGAAGTTCAGGTCGCTGGTTTTAAATAATACACTAAACATCAAAACAAGAGAAAGTTTGTAAAATATCTTGGACCACAAGAACCTGAAATGAATAACGTGAAAGAAAACTTGAATAACTAGGAACTCGATTTGATTTTCTTCGAGTTATCCTTAACGAAAAAATAGCAGGAAAAAAGTGGATAGGACGTAAGCGGCTTTCATAGTTAAGAAATCTGAGACAATGAACAGGCTTTAACGTAGATGAATTATTCAATGTTACACAAGTTCGGGAAATATATAGTGACATCGTGAACATGGGAGTAGTCAACCTTCAATATTGACATGACATTTGAAGAAAAAGAAAAAACCATTTGTATAAAAATGATCTAAGTTTTTCCTTTAAAATGACACATGGAGAACAAACTTCTTTTGTATAAAGGAGGCTACACTCAGTGTAGATTCCTAGAGGGCTTAGTATATCAATTGCTTTAATAGATGTATTGGACGATATTTTCAAAGCTTGCGATAGAAAATATATTCCGTCTAATGGCTTTTGGACTTTTCAAGGACATTCGATACAATTGTGTCCTGGAGCTCTTTACTTTTCTGAACAAAACTATTAATCTTTATATAAAACTATAATATATAATATTCATTCAATGTTGTTGGTTCCTCTAGTGTGAATACCTGAGCTCCAAATATTTCTTTTATCGATATCTTGAGAGACTAGTTTTTCGTCACCAAACAGCGCATTTCTTTAAGCTACGCGCGACGTTCAAGCGAACAAAAAAACGAAAGTCCGGCCCTTTTGAAGGGCCGGATCGTGTTCCATGCAAATATAGACTCTCGCGAAATGACAAAAGGACGATACGACGACGAGACGTGAAAAAAAAAATAGTAAAAAGGTCCCTGCCCGTATCTACGCCCGTGTAACATGTTCCCTCTTTTAATTGCTCAACTTCACAGGGGCATTAACAATCTGGGTCACGTAACCGACACACACAGGCCGTAAATTATGCGAGATACTCGCACAAGTGAGTCGCGGTGCCGCCGGATTGGGGGGCCGTCCTCCTCGGCCCCCCCAAACACCCACGGGGGTGATTTATTTTCAAGAGACATCAGTTTTATTAACACGCGACATTGATACATGGAAGCGGGGGGGCTTGTTTTTCGGCGGCTACTCTTAATACATACGAAATATGTAAGATCGGCGAGTAAGGGGTGAAAAATACGCCTTCGATGGGAGCGGGAGAGGCCAATTGAATGGAACGCGTTAACCTCAAACAGTAAGTCGAAATAGGTCAAATGCTGATAAGTGTCGGTTACAGCGTGGTAGAATTTTAGCTTTGGCGAGAGATTCGCACATTAAAAGAGCAGTGCGGAGTTTGCCTAAGCGGACCAAAGGAACAAACTCCGTTATTTTAATATTGTGTTGTTTTATACTTTCCTCTTTTTCCTTTCATAAAATAGTTCTATTCTTTAGTAATAGAATTTATTGTATGAAAAGCTGTAGATTTCCAGTAGGGGCCTGGGGATATAGAACTACTAACCAAAACTAAAGTGAAATTTACATGGTGTGAGTTAGCAGGTCAGTTGAGAAAGTAACTGTTATCGTTTAGACATAACTATCGGATTACTATCCTCGCCAAGAGTGGAAGTGGTTTTTCTTTTCAAGTCACTTTCAATTTCTTCAAAAGCTCAGCACACAAAAAAAAGATTGCCGCCATTTTATGCTTTCTTCGTGTAAGGAAGTGACCAGTTGCCTATATTTCTTCCCACCCGCGAAGTATAGCTATTGTATACTGGCTAGCCCGGGAACTAGCACTGTGTAACACGTAACAAATAACGCATGAAACTTGTTTGGAACGGGCCAGGTGACGTCACGGGGTAGCGTGAGGTTGCACCGAAGTGACGCAAATAAATCGCCTATGTAGCTCTGGCTTAGTGGTCTTCGTTATCCGTTTCTCTCGATTAACAAAGCTTGTTCGGGTCAGCGGGTAATTTTGGACCAGATGCACCGCCGGGGCTTGTCGGTATTTAGGTTACCCGCGTAACGAAATTTAACTGTCAATGCAAATTAGTATTCGCATTATTGTTTAGCTAGGTAGCAGGTCGAAAGATACGAGAAATTATTTACAAATAAATTATCAAATGTGTTGTGAGAAATATTTACATCAACAAGCAACGAAAAGGAGGCAGGAAAAAATATACTGGTAAAAAATGATAATATAGGTTTAATAATAAATGTGCTGGTAAAAAATTGATATACGTATTAATGGAAGTTTTAGAATATTTTTTTACATTCTCACAAATCTCAATCGGACATAACCAAATATATCGTAATATACAAAAAATATACATCGGGTATGTAAAAGAAACAAAAAAAAAATCTTAGAAATTAAGTAACAAAAAAACTATGAAAACTGAAAAAAATTCAAAAATAAGCGAATAAATATGTTTCAAAGCTTTTTAGCAACAAGACGAAAATGCGCAACCTTGATCCCGCACCTGATTTCTCGAACGTCGCGATGTCAGCGTAGCGGCGTTAAGTGCACTTTAATTTTAATTACTAGCGGGGGCCGAAAAAAGCGCCTTCTCTGCTCTGGAAGACACGCGACGACGGCCGGCGACGTTGGCGAAAAAAAAAACCGAAACCCGATATCGAAATCGACCGTTATGCTTTTAGACTCCGCCGTAAACAGAATTCGAAACCCCTGGAGGTGTTCGATGATGGCGGAGAACGTTATCCTATGGAATCGATCTTGATTTTTCCGCAGGTTACGGCAACATATGGCCACACACGCCTCAAGGGAAAATTACTTCAATAGTCTACGCGATCATCGGGATGCCACTGTTTCTTCTCTATCTATCGAACATCGGCGACGTGATGGCGAGATCTTTCAAATGGATCTACGCCAACCTTTGTTTGTGCCGGTGGTGTCCGGGGGTAAGTCCGTAATGCTTTTGAAGGGAAATTTCATCAAGCTCTTGTTTGATTAAACCTGCTTTAACAACTATTTGTGCAGATAGTCTCAAAGGATAAGTTTATAAATATCTTTCAAGCAATAGTCCTTCATGAGACGTTTCCCATTATTATTGGTACTTTGCTCAACTTGATACCTTTTATAAAGGAAATTGTTTACATTTATCGGACGTTTTAGACAAAGTTTTTTATTCGTACATAATAATAATAATAAAAAGATTACACTTAAGTAAATGAACTAAGTTGCTGTAATACAGCCTCAACAGTGTTAAACATTATTAAGAAAAGAAAACATCTCACAAGCTACAAATACTATAAAAAAACTACTGTTTCTTTTAATAACAAACAAAATAAAATTGCAGGGAGTTAATGTGAGTGAATATAACTTAAAGGAAAGGGAAATCACGTGGGAAAACTTGCATTATATACGATTTAAGTTTATATTATTATTATAATCTCTGTAACATGTTTTCCTGGTGTGAATATTTGAAGAGTGAACGAGTCCAGCGTATAAATATTTCGGCTCCTTAAGGGTAACCGTTTTGTGAACTATGAGTAAGAGCTGCGACTGAAAACTCTCTTCGCCAACGTGACTGACAGAACGTATCTGATATGTGATCAAATTTTCCTAAATTGAAGTAAAGTATAGTCCTTCTGCCTAAGAGCAAGCCAATAAACACCGGAAGCAGAGAATAAGTTAGATACGTGAGTGGGCTAGCTTCAGTTCAACGAGAGTGGTCAATATGTCTCTTTTACACTAAAGTTTTACAACGGGATTTATTAATGAGGAATTAATAAGGAAAAAGGAGGTCATTAGCTAGAATGTACTACCAATATACTACCTTGAGCGACACCTTTGTTGACGATATAGCATGAGTAGGTATTGGTAAAATACAGTGTGTCCAAGATAAGGATGCACAGCATGGGGATCTCGGAAACTATAAGAGATACAGTGTCGGTTAAATTAGACAAAAGTTGCGCATTTTGATACTGAACAAGATCCCGTTTTACAAATTTGAAAATTCCAAGCCGTTCCGGAAATATCCGAGAAAAACCGAAATATTGCGATTTCGTTTTTATTATTTTTTAAAGCTATTTGAAAAGATATGAAAAAACGGAAAACACTTTTCCATTGGTACTTTTTAATCTCTCCAAATTGACGTTAACAAATTTTCATTACAGCGTTTCGATTCCATGGAACCACCATCAACTTTGATTTTTCTTATGGGACGGAAAAAAAGTACACACAGTATTAGGTTGTGCTTTTCATTGCGAATTCAACGATGTACGATACAATATGGTTACTTATGTTTTTATCCAGAAAAATGGCCTTTTAATACATTTCAGCATTTAAATGGAGTAAGCCATGACAAAATGACATCCAGTCAATTTCAATGACACATTAATGTTATTTGTCTTTGTTATCAGTCGATCATAAGTTTATTCCTTTAGTTATTGTTTTTGTATTTTTATTGTTGTTGTCTTTTTCTAATTTATTTTGTTCTACAATGGAGGGAGGTAATTTTACAAACGAAGAAAAATGTGATATGCTGTCTTGCTACATCTGATGCCAAAGAAATTGTGTGGAAGCCGAGCGTATGTATTGTAACAAATACCCAGAGCGGAGACAACCTGACAAGAGTATTTTTCGGCGTTTGTTCTTTAATCTGAAAGAATATGGATCATTTAAGAAGCCTGCATTATCCCGACAAAAACCTTCCAATGAAGAAAACCAATACATTGTTCTACAATCTGTTATCGAAAATCCACAAACTTCTACCAGAGAAATTGAAGACCAGAATGGGGTAGCTAAATCTACAGCTCAGTTTATTTTAAGGAAAAATGAATTTAAGCCTTACAAATTCAGAATATGTCAAGGATTAAAACCGGGTGACGACGAACGACGTAGACATTTTTGTGAGTGGTATACCAGGATGTGTGATGAGAGTTTTAATTTTCCATATAAAGTGATTTGGTCTGATGAAAGTATGGTGACCAATAACGGTATTTATAACAGGCGCAATACACACTATTGGTCGCAACAAAATCCACGTGTTAATAGACTATCCAGACATCAAGTTCGCTTTGGGTTTAATATTTGGTGTGGGATTTTTGGTAGCAAGATTATAGGCCCTATTTTCTATAATAATTCCTTAACTTCCGAGCGGTACCTTGACATCTTGAGGCACGATTTAGAAGATGCCTTAGATGATTTACCGCTAGGCGCTGTGCAACGCTGCTGGTTCCAACAAGATGGTGCCCCAGCCCATAACTCCAGAGAAGTTCGCCAATATTTAACTGAACGGTTTGATGGAAAATACATTGGGACTTACAGTGAAACACCTTGGCCTCCAAGGTCCCCGGACTTAACTCCCTTGGACTTTTTCTTATGGGGCTACATAAAAAATGAGGTATTCAAAGAATGTTTTGACAACGAGGAACAATTACGTCAATCAGTACGAGCAGCGTTTAATAAAATTACTCCTGAAATGTTAAGCCGTGTTTTGGAGTCTACCGTGAGACGGGCGTACTTATGCCTAGAAAATGGAGGTCATTTATTCGAACATTTGTTATAGAATTTGTTTTTCATTAACTTGTTGGATTTAGTTGTTATGTTAAATGAACAGTTAGAGTTTAAATGCTGAAATGTATTAAAAAGCCATTTTTCTGGATAAAAACATAAGTAACCGTATTGTATCGTACATCGTTGAATTCGCAATGAAAAGCACAACCTAATACTGTGTGTACTTTTTTTCCGTCCCATAAGAAAAATCAAAGTTGATGGTGGTTCCATGGAATCGAAACGCTGTAATGAAAATTTTTTAACGTCAATTTGGAGAGATTAAAAAGTGCCAATGGAAAAGTGTTTTCCGTTTTATCATATCTTTTCAAATAGCTTTAAAAAAATAATAAAAACGAAATCGCAATATTTCGGTTTTTCTCGGATATTTCCGGAACGGCTTGGAATTTTCAAATTTGTAAAACGGGATCTTGTTCGGTATCAAAATGCGCAACTTTTGTCTAATTTAACCGACACTGTATCTCTTATAGTTTCCGAGATCCCCATGCTCTGCATCCTTATCTTGGACACACTGTATACTCTGAGTCTTTTGAAGAAGTTTTGAAACAAATGTATGCCGTTATCACTCAAGCCGAAATGAGGGTTTCTGAGATGCAAATAAATAGGATTTGGGAAAAAATCGTATTCCACAGAACTGCAAAACGTATTTTGTTAACAAAAATTATAGTTCATTATTTCCCTTAGTCTGAATAACCGAGTAAGCGTTCTAATCCCAGCGAAAGCGAAAATGTTAATCTGTAAAGACGACGATGTGGATAAGCTTGCTGGTAATTTTGAAAGAGGTGGTTGTGACTGATATCGATGTTATAACGCTGGGTGGATAATAATAATAGTTGGTTTTTCTCAGGTTGCCAAAAGGCGAGCCGAAAGAAGAATGAGGAGGGCTCAACAGATGAGCGAGGATTACGACAGCGAGGCGGACAGCTCGAGCACAAAGTCGTCTGCGGTAAGAATAGAATTAATGCGAAATATTTACCGTGGCACTCGGCAATGCGGTTTTCCTTTAATCCTAAGAAATCGGCGACAAAGGCCACCTCCATTAAAATGTTTTAAATGTTAATTTATTTGAAGGGATTTCCACTCCAATGGAGCCTTTTTTACTAAATTTAAGGAGAATGCAATATATCTAATAAATTAAATAAAAAATTACATTAGTAAAAGTCTAGGTTTTCCAAATAAAAAGTCAACTAATATATAATAAACATAAATATAACGAATTATTACCATAAACTGAGAGTCAGTCATTCTCAGATCGACCATTTGAGATATCCTCGAACTGATTTGGGTCTCTCTCTCACTCAACTTAACTTTACTTCAATTTAGATGTAAGACCGACGTAAAAATAAAATAGTATCTTGATACACCCAGCAATAGTCAGCAAGTCGACTTAATCTGTAATAATTTCTTGAGAAGTTACTGTCTGATTTCAAATAATTATAACAAAAAAACACATCGTCGGACGCGTCACCTCAGAAAGTGCATCCAAAATACTGATGGCGTACTAAATGTACCTAATTTTCACCAGTACAGGCTGTCGGATAATCGAAATATTAAGACCTCTGCAGGTCAGCAGTTTATGGAATTCCAATGTCGACCAAATGGACAACCTCGAGTCATTTGAATTAATTCGATTGTGATGTGGAAATGTTTTGTGGAAGGCTACTGATATTTCCAACGACTTTTTTCCATTGTGCCTTCAAAAGAATCTAAAGTAAAACTTTCTTCCGGACAAATTGGTTAAGGCTTTCGCGGCCCGTTGATAAGCTATTATCTTCATTCGGGTTTAAAGGCCGTCGTCGATTGGAATTACTTCCTAACGTTTCGCTAGCACGAGTGGCGAGCTTCTTCGGAGGTCCTTCCATCTCCGATGTTGGACGTAGACTGACGATTTCTCCTGCGCAGGTTGTATTTCACATTCACATTCCGATTGAAGAGATCATCTCCAGCACGGAAGCAGCCATCAAGAACCTACCGGACCAAGATGCCGAAGAAATACGAATCGAGACAGCCAACATCCTCAGGAAGGCAGAACCACCCAAGACTAACCTGACGAGAAGTGAAGGACTGGCACTGCGTAGCCTGAACACTGATGAGGGTATCATCATACTCCCAGCGGACAAAGGAAACGCAACCGTTCTTCTGAAGACCGAGGAGTACGAAGGGAAGATTGAGGAACTCTTGGACCCGGGAAGCTACAAACCCCTGAAAAAGGATCCGACGCAAGTTAGACTACGTCTTACCAACCGGCTCATCAAGTCATCATCACTATCAGAAGAAATCAAGAGGCGCATTGTGAAGACGGAGACTGTTCCACCAAGGCTCTATGGACTACCTAAGATACACAAAGTAGATGTCCCGTTAAGACCAATAGTTAGCGCACCCGGATCACCAACGTATTACTTGGCTAAACACTTGGCATCGCTGCTTCAACCACACGTAGGACACGGCACCAGTTACATCAAGGACTCCACCGACTTCGTGCGCAAGATTCAAGATATCAATATTGAACAAAACGACATCCTTGTGAGCTTCGACGTTGTCTCACTGTTTACCAAAGTACCTCTGAAGAGTTGCTTGGACCTGGTGAACAGGATATTTCCTGTCGATATTTGCAAACTTTTTGAAGTCTGTCTGACCGGTAGCTATTTCGTGTGGAAGGGAAACTTCTACCAACAGGTGGACGGAGTGGCAATGGGAAGCCCACTAAGCCCGGTTATAGCCAACTTATTTATGGAACACTTTGAGGAAAAAGTGATCGAGTCCTCAGAGTACAAGCCAGCAACATGGTTCCGGTACGTGGATGACACCTTCGTGATTTGGAAACATGGTATGGACAAGCTCAACAACTTTCTGCAGCATCTCAACAGTCAGCATCCCAGCATCCAGTTTACTATGGAGACTGAAAATGACCAACAACTTGCATTCTTGGACGTACTAGTGAGGAAGCGAGGTAACAAGCTGGGCCACACAGTTTACAGAAAACCGACCCATACGGACAGATACCTGCATGCTCTATCCAACCATCACCCAAGTCAAAAGTATGGGGTTATCAGAACCCTGACAGAACGAGCCCGAAGGATTTGCGAACCGGAGAACCTCCAGATGGAACTTGAACACCTAAAAACTGCGTTCGAGGCAAATGGCTACAGTAAGAGGGAGATCGAGAGATCAATGAACTCAAGATCATCAAGATCACGGGATACCGAACAACGACCCTCCACCTCCCACGCATATCTGCCGTATATTCCGAGTGTCACCGACAGGATTGGCAGAGTATTGAAAAGACACGACATCAAAACAATCTTTAAGCCTACAAAGAAGATCCAGCAGACCATCAGGTCAGCGAAGGACAAGAGGGGCTCACTTTCAGCTGCGGGAGTCTACCGCATTCCGTGTTCATGCGGAAAGGTCTACATCGGAACTACCAAGAGATCAATGGGAACGAGACTTAAGGAGCATAAAGCAAGCTGCAGGCTAGGACATACAGAGAAGTCCGCAGTGGCTGAACACGCACTGGGCAGCGGGGAACACAGGATACACTTTGAGAGCTGTAAGTTACTAGCATCGGTCAACGGCTATCACAACAGACTAGTCAGGGAAGCCATTGAGATTCAAAAACACCCACACAATTTCAACCGAAAGGAGGAGACCCTTAGACTCAACCAAATCTGGAACCCGATCCTTAGGAACGCCCGAGCAGTACCGATCGATATCCCGAGACCAACCGAAGCGGAACAAGCCCCGCCCTCCACCAATCGGCATAAATACAACCTGCGCAGGAGAAATCGTCAGTCTACGTCCAACATCGGAGATGGAAGGACCTCTGAAGAAGCTCGCCACTCGTGCTAGCGAAACGTTAGGAAGTAATTCCAATCGACGACGGCCTTTAAACCCGAATGAAGATAATAGCTTGTCTTCCGGACATTTCTTTGGTCTATTTTTTCTCTGCACACACAAATATTGAATTACACGAGCTTTATTTGGATAAGGGTGAAAACAAAGCAATTCATATTGTACATGTTTGTATTCCGGACCAGTAGATCTGTTCCTTCAACGTTAACCTAACATCATGGTTAGAAAATTATAGCACGATCGATGGAAAAGAAAGCTATTAATATTTTTTTTTTCAAAAGCAGCGTAGCGAGTAAAATAATTATCCATATGTCTGGAAGAAGATGAATTACACAGGTCCACAGTGATTTTGATGTTTGGAAGCTGTTTGCTTCTTTGCATATTTTTGGGGCAGGTTTTCCAAAAAAAGCTCCTTATTTTTATTCTATCACGTCATTTCTTTGTTCTATATTAGGCACGATTTTTGAATGAATTGATTTCTATGAAATTAAATGTGATTTGGCAACACCGGCAGATTTCTCTGTAAAGCAACAGAGTTGGCGCAGAAGCGTCGATACAGCGTTGTAATCTGCTTATGCGCAGTTTGGTTGTATTGGTCTTCGTGCTGCTGCGATTTCTTTGTCGCGTATGAACAATCCAAACAACTTTTGTGATATCTGTGGTAGTTATGTCGTAGTTAAGCAAAGGCAAAGGCAAAAAGGTATTTTTGTCGGGCCGCAGATAAGAGCATTATGCAAAGATAAGGATTTTCGAAACCCAATAACCAATGTCGAGAAAACGCCTGGGTTTCATGTTGTAAGAAGTAATGGGTTTAAAAGTGCATTTCCTGTTTTCATACTATTTACCTGAAAATCATGGAGCAGTTTGCGAGGAACAGAGGGAGGGATTTGACCAGGAAATTATAGAAATGGAACGGCGATACCAAATCAGATGGGGCAAAAAGTTGATGGCGGACTACTGCTGGATGTTAAAATGGGATTTGAACTTAAAAACAAACTTTCTGGCAAAAAAACGTGGATTTCACTCGCTGAACAAAGTTTTTTTTTCACTTTTTTCAAAATAGGATTCCACTTTTTTACTGATTAAAGAAATAAATTATATTTGCAAGAAACCTTACGCGATGCAAATAACTGCATAGAATTTTTGAAATCAGCCTACTAAAGTGATATAAAATCAGTTTTCAAAATAAAGTTTAATTTTGTAAATCAGTGTTATTTGCGGTCAAACGTCGATCTCACATCGTCGTAAAGCTCGTCCATCATCAATGTATAAATTGACTTTAAACACTTAACTTACATAAAAGTATGTTAGGATTTTATATATAGTTTTCATATTATCGCTGATTCCTCAGACCTCGTAGCACCCACACCACGAAAGTATTTTTTAGCGGGGATCTAAGGGAAAGCGTTCGCCGTTTGATAGGTTATTAACGCCCCAACCCTATCACCCAAACGAAGCCGTAACAAAGAGCTTATCTCGGTTCGGCGTCAACCGGGCTATCATCTACGAAAAAAAAAAGTAATTGCTGGCCCTCAATACCTCTCGATATTTATTTACCGCCGTCACCGCAACGGCTGGCGGCGGCGGCGGCCGCCCCAGGTCTCTCTCCCCATTCATCAATTCGCCCGTTATCCCGGAATTACACGCTTGACGTTTTTTTATTGAATTAATATCGTGTTTAGTATGCGAGAGCGGGTGAAAAATGACGGTGGCGATTAAATGGCTGCCGGTTTTATTGGGCGACGGGGCTTTAGAAGTCCGTTACCGCGTAATTCACGTGTGACGATAATGGTAAAATGATAAAGGACTCTTTTTTAGAAAGTTACGGATCCGTTGTTTCCTCCGGGGAAAGTTTTATCGCGCGTTAAGGGTGATTTTAGAAATGGATGGTTTAATGTATTTTTCACTGGCCCTGGAAATAGTATTAGTTCTGTTCTATTCTAATTCTATATGCGCTGCATTCCTATGCAGGGTCGCCAGGATAGGAACGTCGAGAAAGTGCTCCTAACACTCTTAATCGGCTGCTTCCTAGGTTAGGAGATGAGCTGCAGTTTCCTCTTCTTCTAAACATATGTGATATCGAGGTGTCTTCTCAGATAGGAGTGTCCTATCAGTATTCCTATAAGCGTGACCGAGAATCCACTTTTGCTTCTGGGGCTTTCTGGATCTCACAACCAAATTGTGCCTTGACTACCTCAGGAAGGATCCAGTTCAAGATTTTTGTCGACATTACATAGACGATGGACATGGGCAAGCCCAAATTGGAACCCGAAAAATGAAGTATACTTCTTCTTAACAAAAAACTAAAGATATGTAACAGATGTGGCGGTGTTAAATCAATTTGGCATTGGGAGTGATCATAGAGCAGTGAGAGCCACAGTAAAGTTAAACTTAAAGAACGAAAGAACTAGACCGACAAAGGAAAGGAAAACGATGAAATAGTGCTCTCGAAAAGTAGGTCTAAAGATTAATTTTCGAAAAATTGAATACATGACCAATAGTTCCAAGTAAAAATATGAAAATAGACTGGTACGAGATACGTCAGGTTTATAGCTATACTTATCTGGGAGGTGAGATTAAAAATAGTCAGCCTTGCGAAATTCAACTCCGTATAGGTTTGAGTTGGGCTGTATTTGGCAAATTATATTCTGATATGGACCTTAAAGAAAAAGGTCTGGAACCAATGCATTTTTCCAGTGATCACATACGACTCGGAAACGCTTACATTGTCTAAAAAGTCCGGAAATAAGTTGAGAGTAAATCAAATAAAAATGGAAAACCAATGCTGGGAACTACAAGAAGTAACCTGGTACCAAACAGTTAGTGAGACCAATAACTAAAATAATATATGTCATACAAAAAATTCTTCTTCTTCTTCTTCCAGCGTCTTTCTTCCTATACCATTTTCTTAATCTACTCGTCCCCGCATGATAGTTCGTACTTATTATTTCTTAGAATATGGCCAAGATAAGTTGTTTTTCTTCGATTGATCGTAATCATTAATTTCCCTTCTTGTCCTATTCTTCTTAACACTTCCTCATTAGTAATTCTGGCACTCTAGGGTGTTTTTAAGGTTCTGTGACACAGACACATTGAGAATTCAAGTTTCTACTCCATACAGTAGTTGCAACCACACGTAGCACTCAATAAACATTAATCTTACTTTTAAGGCATAGATTTTTGTCGCTCAATCGTGTTTTAAATCTTAAGAAAAACTACCTCGCAATTTCTTCGTCTTGGTCTATGTCTGAAGTTACGTAAGTTCGTAGATATTTATATTTTTCCACACACTCAATGGGTTTTCTTTGTATCATCAGCTGACGTTGATTTAGTTTTTACGGTATTCATTGCGATTACCATTTTAATGCTTTCGTTATGGGCATGTTCACCCGTAATTATAGGTCTTCCAGGGATTCAGGCATGATTGCTATATCTCCTATATTAATACCATCTTCTTTTTCCCAAAGGGCGCTATGAAATATTATGTGTAAATATAAATCGAAGAGGGCAGGTGAAAGTACGCACCCTTGCCTACCACCTTGCTGGATTGGTACTCTTTTTGTTTCCGTTCCGTCTATTTTTACAGTGGCTGTTTGATTCCAGTATATTTTTTTGATGAGCGTTATATCATTGTCACCAAGTTGAATGTTCTTCAGTTCATCTATGAGTTACGTCTGCTGGACTCTATCAGATACTTTTTGATCGTCTATAAAGCACAGTGTGAATTATCCAATTGTTCTTCGCATTCTCAGGATATATCTATTTTGGATTATTTTCAGTAGGACTTTTAAGGGGTGGCTCATGAGTCTTATGAATCTGTAGTGGTTTCCTGATTTAGGATTGTTCTTTTTAGGTAGAGGTATGTGTCGATGTTAATCATTCTGGTGGGATGTTTTTTGATGTATATATATTGTTAGGTATGTTGGTGAGTGTGATTATATTTTTATCGTTCAATGATGTTATCATACAATTTTTTTGAGCGTTTGTTCTGTCTGTACTATTGTCCTGAAGTACCTCTACGACGTACTCTTCCCGATAATGTTTTATATCATTCGCTTCCAAAAGTAGACCCGCGGACCTCCGCCAATCCAAAAAAATACTCAAGGCAAAAAAATTGATAGAATGGAGACCCAGATAAAATAAAAGAAATAGGGGGCAGACCCCCAACAAGATGGGAAGACGACCTGAGAAAAATAGCGGGCAACTGGAAGCAGAAGGCATAAAACAGTGGATGCAAGAGATTGGAGGATGATGATGACCGCCATATCTCGGGATAGAAGACAGAAATTCTTCTTATCCTCAAATGCTCAGATTATCTATAAAGCGGGTACCCAGACTGACTGATCAAAGTGCATTCTGTCCGTAGGTGTAGTAGTGAATACGTAGTTTACTTCCACTGAGATTAATACTGCAATGGATGGCATTTCCGGGCAGGTTCAATTTCAATTTTGGTAGCACGGAATAGAGTAAGTCTCCTTTCTTTTTCTTTAGGTGCAGACGCTGGTCTGGAACAAAATGTTAATTAATTATATTATTAATAATTATATTATAATTATAAGATCATGAAAATGAAAGTGTAGTTAGATATCTCATTTCCTCAACATAATTTTAAAAAAAAGTGACTAAAAAAAGTAAAAGTTAAGCATGGAAGGGGAGCTGTTGCAAGCGTAACACTTGCCGAGCTGACGTCGTGTCTATCGTCCGGCATTGTTCGTCAGACCGTTAACTGTTAAGTACGTGGTGCATAAAATCTCCCCGGATAGACGTCACCGGAGGGGGAACACAACCGGTAAACCGAAAGCGGGAAATCTAAACTCCACACCGCGTAACAACGTTCCGCTTCACTCAATAAAATCCGGACGACGAATGATTTCCCGACACGCGGAAAATCACAGATACTGCCGAGTTTATTGAAAGACCAAATTAGTGCTGAGCCGGGGGGATATTCGACAATTTTCGAACACGAACGTAACGAAGATTATCTTTTTGAAACGCCACGTTGCCCGATTGCGTCGGGACTGATATTAGGTTGGCGTAAAAACGACTTGTTCCAGGAAAATTTGCAACTCGAAGGTATGGAGCCCAGGGGATCGGTGGTCAGCGAAGGTTTTACCGTGTACACGGAAGAGTCGTATGACGTGCAGACCGTCACCGTACCAGTCACCATTTGCATAATGATCGTAGTTGGGTAAGACTTTACGAAACTGTTGCTTTGTCTAGTTTCAGATTCAGTAAATTTCATAAAAAAAAATAAATTAACCAACTAATAATAAGTTAACTACAACTAACCAAATAAGTTTTTGTACACAGATTACTAAACCGACATCAACTATTGTAACTTTTATTACATCCTTTGCTGTTTGTTTGTTAAAGATATTAAATTGCATTATTGCATTCTGCGAAGGATGGATATAACGGGTGATTCAATAAGAGTTTCCACATTACAATCTGAAATATTTTTGAAACGCCACTGTATTTGTTTATTATCATATGAGATTTGTAACCTCGAAACATAAACAAAATTATCGATATATATCGATATATCGATATATCGAACATATCGATTCGTCATCGATCGCAGCAAGTGGGCCTTACGTATTCAACCACACAGCGAATTTGAACAAAAGACTTGCATCTACACCCATATAAAGTCCAAATAACTCAGGAGTTGAAACCTCGAGATCATCAACAGCGCCGCGTGTTTGCAGAATGAATATGAAAATCATCTTTAGCGATGAGGCACATTTTCACGATGGTAGTTTTGTAAACAAACACAATGCTCGTATTTGGGGATTAGAAAATCCAAGAGAGATTGAGCAAAAAGCAATGCATCCTCAAAAAGTGACTGTTTGGTGCGGAGGAATAATTGGCCCTTTTTTTTGAGGATAATGCGGAGAACGCTGTTACGGTTAATGGTGTTCGCTATCGAAACATGATATCTGATTTTTTCTGGGAGCAGTTGGAAGGTATGGACATTGAAGATTTGTGGCTCCAACAGGATTTAGCCACTTGTCACACATCCAGAGGAACGATGCAATTGCTGCGGGGCAAGTTTCCTGGTCGGATTATCTCACCTAACGGCGATATCAATTGGCCGCGGCGTTCATGTGATCTTACTCCTCTATATATATTTTTTTTTGGGGATCTAAGAAGCACAGTGTATAGAAATAAACCAAACACTATTCCAGAGCTGAAACAGGAGATTAGACGCGAAATAGTCGGCATAGAACCTGAATTGTGTCAAAAAGTGATTTGAATGACATCATCTTTCATACCTAATTGTAATACACTAATCTAAAATGGCAAATAAAAATGTTTGTATATTTTCATATTCTTCTGAGTTTTTTTGTATTATTTTAATGTGAAAACATTTATTGAATCACCCTTTAGTAATTAATGTTCCGACGTTAAAAAGCTTATATTCGACGTTAAATAATTTACTTACTATCTCCAATGGTATTTAGAAAAATGCCTGTTGAGCGAAATAAAGTGTTACTTGTAGATCTTGCTCACGTTCCGCTTTCTTTTAAAACTGAGCACCGATTGCTAAAATATCTGCCGCAGGCAAGGGCGGTTTAATTGCATAACGGACGGCCGAATGGATGATTTTGATACTCCCGAATTTTTCGAATAATTTGCCCAACGATATACCGTTTTCACATCATAATTGCACTCAATAAATAGATTCGCAATTCCACAATGACGTTCCCCAACCGTACTTCGATCCTTCGTGCATACAAATGCTAAGAGCTGGCAGATTTGTATAGAGTTTTATCGGTGAGATTCCTCGATTATTATTGGTCCGCGCAGTGAAAATATTTATTATAAATATAAATGAAGGAGTAAAATAAGCCTTAAAATAATGTTTATAAAAAAAGTTATTCCACATCAAAATTATTATTGTGGTCACTGGATTCGTCCCGCACATTCGATGGCAAGTTCTATAATTTTTTTCCAACTACAAGCATGTATTTATTTTACTTCACTACTAATTAATTCTATTGCTTAGAACTAAATTTCGGCGGACGATGATGATGTTGTTTCTTCTTAAACTGGGTTTCAGGTGCCCCATATCGAATTAAAATTGCAGTGATATGGCGGAAGACGGTCAACTTTACATCCTTGCTCTATGGCACATTTATGAACAAATTTTGAGCGTATTCTTCCGCTAGAATGGTAGCTGGCGATGTCTGCTGTCATGTTCTCGTGGTAGTTGCTTGTTTGACATCTTTTGCACTAAGTAACAAAGATGCCTCGCGAAACTGGCACATCCCTTCTTGACAGTATCATGCCTATCAATCCAGGTCTCATCTAAATGTATGATGGGGACGTTTTGAGCAGGAATTTCTTGGATTTCTTTCAAATATCTTGTTCTTGCATGGGGCATGTCAAGTAGACTTTTTGGGACCCCACGATATTTCTGCGTTTTTCTTTCTTCGACACCATTCGCAACTATGTCACGTAGTTAAATAATTTACGGTCGAATGTCAATTTTATGGATCCACTTTAACCAGATATCGATTTTAGAAACAGAAACACATTTAAAATTATAATTCTTCTTTGTCGCTGGACACCTCAAGTAGGGACTGTTTTAGGAAGATTTATAAAAAACACACTAATGCGAATTAATGTGACAATTTAACATCTTCAATACTTGCTTGTGGTACAAAATTTAAATGATACAATTAGGCGGATCGGCAAATCAAAACAATCGTCAAAATTCAACCGGACTCCGTCACGGCGGGTAAATTACAGTATACCCGGTTTCATCGCACAAAGCGTTTTGACAAATTCCCCTGTATTTTCCACTTGCTCACTTTTCATTTATTTGCGCTCGGCGGCGAGCGTTTCCAAGTTACGCCGGAATGGTTTCACACAATTAGACATAATTATCGCGCGATTTTCCGAGGTTATTGTTGGATTTCGCTCCACCGTCCGTCCTATTGTCTCCACTTTGTCAGCCGTATGCTCGCAATTTCGAGTTTGATAGACTCCTTTTTTTTCCGCGTTTCGACGTCAATTAGTGCGATCGTAACATGACGAAGCGAATGACGGAAAATACAAAAAAAAAATCAAAAATATCATTATAAATTTGTTAAAATAAATGTGAGTATACGCCTTTTGGATACGCCTCATGGAACATCGAAAAAAAACGAAAAATCTGTTCTTTCGAAAGGTCCAAATTTCGTTTTTGCTCCACGTGTTGTCACCAGCGTCTGTTCCAGCTTACGCAAATTACAATCTGAGCGACGAATGTGAATTAACGTAACGTAACGTATGCGCAATACTTTGGACTCTCTGACGGTACACTAGCCTTCTTTTGCAACTACTTGCAAAATAAAAGACAAGTTATTAGGACGACAGCTGGTGTGTCGAAAGCTGCTGAAGTGTATATATTTGGTTTGGGTAAAGCTCTGCAGTTTTTCCAATCTCAGTCATATGCTGACCATACCCAGCAGCTAAAACTGACGTCTTTGCTGACGTCTCTTCCTGAAAAGCTACTTGCACCTTGAGATAAATAGGGAGCACTTGTAGTTTACTACCAAGGTCAAATCTCAATAGTAACATTTCAAATTTAAATTAAAGAACTTACCTTTTATGTAAGACTCTATATGGTAATAAGCATGTGAGTCTCATATTATGTCTGCATTGTCACTTGCCTCGTATTGTTTAACCCATATTTAACGCTCCTTGGTCGTCAACTCCTTCAAAAAATAGAAAACAACTATTATGGCTTATGGAAATATACGTGCCCCCTAAAATTAAATTGTTGCTTTGGTTGAAAATAGACAATTTATTTTAGAGTCACAATGTAAATATTAGGGAGAATATGCTAACTGTGCCTCAACACAGATCTGCCCTTTACGAGCTGGGGTTTAAGTATAAAGCGGCAGTAGTGTATTATACAACAAGTGCGGTAAACGGCATTTGACTCACGAGTTTAGTTGACGCGAGCGGAGCGAGTGTTTAATAAACGAGTGAGTGAAAAAGTTTTTCTACTCCCGTCTGTAAAATATCTAATTACCCATCGATCTAGCGTGCGGGAAGCGTCACTTTACCACGTCAGTTTCGTTTCCCATGATTCCGAGCCACTTCGGACATTTCCGCGGATTTTACCGCACGGATTTGGGAGCAATCGGATGTTTTCGTAGATATTTCCGACGCTTTGAATTTTGACGTTTGTCAATTCTGACGGTCATGTCAGTGAATGCATTCGTGTTTTGCGAAAATGTACCCAAAAACTAATGGTGGTAGGAAAAGTATGCAACACGTTCGGTAAACTTTTTAACTCACTCGTTTATTAAAAACTCGCTCCGCTGCGCTTCGCTCGTGTCAAATAAATTCGTGAGTCAAATGCCGTTTACCGCACTTGTTGCACAATATACAACCGTTAGTTTTTGAGTACATTATCGTAAAACAACACGAATACATTCACTGACATGACCTTCAGAATTGACAAACGTTAAAAGTCAAAGTGTGGGAAATATATTCGAACATCCTATTGCTCACAAGTAGAAAAAAACTTTTAATCACCATATACATTTCTTTGCCTAAGCATCTTTAAAATTGTTTCGAAAGAACATTAAAGGCGTGTTGTTAAATAAATAAAGTGCTGAACGGCAGCAACCCAAAGAAATACCTCCAATAACATTACATTTTTAGGTACATTTGCGGCGGCGCCATTTTGTTCTGCAAATGGGAATCTTGGTCATTCCTCGACGCGTCGTATTTCTGTTTCATATCGTTAAGCACGATAGGATTCGGAGACCTGGTGCCAGGAGACAAAATTTACGGACAGCAGAGCAACATTCTCGAGCTGAGCTTCGTATTTTGCTCGATGTATCTTATGCTGGGCATGGCGCTGATCGCGATGTGTTTCAGTTTAATGCAAGTAAGTAGAGGCGTTTTGGTTTCGAACAGTGTAACTATACGCGCCACGTCCGCCCTTACTGTTAAACCTAAAATTGGCTCGTTTGATTGCGAATTGCGCTCTCAAACTTTGTTCTAGAAATTCGCGTTTGCTGTTGGACTTCCTCGAAGAAACTTCGGTCAAGAATGTCTCGAGTTCTTGGAGAGACTGGTTGCGCTACAATGTTAACTTGTATTCGTCGAATTATATACCCGTCGTTTTCGTCGGAAATTGGAATACCGACCATTTTCTAATTAAAGCTAAGCTACAGTACTTCCGATTCCATATTTTGATTAATTATTCACGAGTAAGAAACTAACCAAAACTATTTAATTGTATTTCTATTGGGGTGTTGAAAGGACTCCTGAAACGGAAGCTAGTTTCTGGTCGGTAGATATGGATTTATCGATGTACTTAAAAATTAGAACTTCAGCCATACTGTCCTCGGTTGCTGTTGCCATTAACCGATGCGCATACGGGACGCCCAGCATGTTAGCAACAACGGGAGAACTGGAATAATTAGTGAAATTTGATGGATTTTATTGACGAGTCAAATTTATAATTAATGAGTTTTTTCGGGCTGTTGGTTTTGCTAACAAAGCTTTCAACTGCTACTGCGGCAGTCATACTCAGCAGTACCTGTGTTGGACGGACGGAGGACTGAGCGGCAAGGAGGCGGGCCTTGGCAACACCCGCGCAGTCCGCCGTCCGTCCGAGCGTTACAACACAAGTACGTACGACTACAATCTACAAACTACCGTCCACTGCCATAAGAGCAGTTGAAAGCTTTGGTAGCACAAAAAAAAACAAAAACTCATTACGATACCGGCCTTGAAAGCCTAAAGAAGTGAGCCACATTTATGTTTGTGTCCAGACTACCATTTGTTCGTCTGTGTTCCAAGTTCCAACTCACTATCAAAGCCGTAGTTGTCTTTCAAAATAACGAAAGCTTAAATTTTGATAGGATCAATATTGTACCAGAGCAGCCTCCTGATGGAACTCTCACCATATTACTTGGGGAGATAAATTTTTCGGTCCCGACCGCCTTTATATATAAATTTTAATAAGAAACAGGCTCGGAAATACACGGGTTGTCGCGTCTAATGAAATTCCCACTTATCTAGGCGTGCCGCAAAAATACACGTTTATTTATAATATTTCGTTTTCACTCAGCTAGCAGCGGCGGGTGATTTAGAATACCGCCGTTCTCCGGCCATATTTCGCGAAACGTTTCGGTGTCTGTCGCGAGATAATATGCTAATTCTTGCGTAAAATTTCAGAGCAGAGCCAGGCACAACGAATTTCCCTACAGGAGAGACACGGTATGATAAATTAAATACGTTCGGGGCGCCGACTTTTCTGTTCATTCAAGTTGAGTTTAAGTAATTACCGTTGTTTAATCGGAGACGAATCTTTAATGTGATATTTCACCGTCCTTGTAGCTGTCTCGAAACAATGTTATAGCGTAATACGATGACGCGGAATCGGCTCATAAACAATCTAAATTAGTTCATTCATCTGAAGTCGGCTAAGTGAACCATTACGCTTGAGTTTAGGCGACAACGACGCATTAGGATTAATATGCCATTAAATGTGTTACAGCTAATTCTGCGACACACCCGTTCCGAAGCTTTCAAATGATAAATTAAATAATCCAATTAACATTTTCGTCGTTAACGTCGCTAAACGGCCGTTTTGTTTAGTTACGACAATTTGTTGCAATGGCGCACTTAACGATAAAGATGGAGGGACTTTTTGTTTTTTACTTTGCTTACGTACGAACATTCGTTGATTGAGTCTGCATTAGAGTCCTTTTATTCCACCCACGATGGACGGGGGCGATTTGACCTTGCTCGGGACTATTTTTAGTTACACAAAGGTCCGGATATTTTCGTTTATTATTTGCGATACCTAGAGAAGGGTTATAAGATGATATCGAGCGGAGAGTAAATAAAAAGTTGTCGTATATTCGATATCTTCAGTTACTTTCGTCCATTCTTGTGACAAAACTGGTGCTTGGATGTCGACAGATATTGGAGTGTGTATTTTGCGATATTGGTACTTACGATAGTATTTACTCGTCTTTATTGGTTAACATGCTTGCTCTAAAATAACGAATGTATCATGGTGTTGAAACACTGACTAAAATTTTTCATAATCGATTTATTGATTAGTTAATTAAAGGTTTTATTATAAATCAAGCTGTTGTTGTACATAATTATTCTATTTTAAACAGACTATCGACATCGACATAAAATGCAGGAACAAACGGAAGTAGCGGAAGCAATTCAAAATTTTCAGCCAAAAGTGTCTCAAAATCGTCATTACTATACTACTAGAATTCTTTTGTAAAAGTTTCCTTTGCAGTAATTTCAACAATAAACAATCACAATATATTATCGATTCTCTCAATCTACTAGTTAAATTTAATTAATTAAAAAAAATTAAAACTAATCATAATAATTGTTATTCCCATTGAATTTTTTCAAAATAACTTAATAACATTATCAAATTTAGAGAAATAGGAAAAAGTACATTTTCAAAAAATATAACGTAAAACAACCGAGCCCGATTTTTATATATGTTGGTTTATCTTATTTATGTAATATATAGGATATTCAATGGTCTCACGGTCTTATACCACCATCCTATTACAGCACCATCCAAAATTACAATTTGTTTTATTCTTTCGTCTCTAGATTATCGTTACGGATTTTCATTACGCTCTTTCTATCCTTCCTCACTTCTTTTAGATACCTAAATAAAACCCTTTAACACTTATTCATTAGGGTTTAAGTTGAGTCGAAATAATTACATACATATATATATTCCTGTATTCCATGAAAATCTTCAGATGACCAAATTTCCTTTTTTTTTCTTTTTTGAAATCGTCTACATATATAGGGTGTCCCACGACATGACTGACACAGCTTGGGACTGTGGTGCTGAGGTGACTTGAAGTTAAAAATGTCAAATGAACATATGTTAGTTAAAAATGTCAAATGAACATATGTTATGTTCATTTGACATTTTTAAATTGAAATATCTCTGAAATATACCAAAAATAAAGGTTCTAAACGGCAGCCTTGAGGGACTTCACTTCTAAGACATTTTGGAATTACAATCATTGCTGGCTATCATCGAGATAGGTCATTGAAATATCCAAAAGTATTCCGTGCACACCAAAATTTTGCAAGTATATTATCAAATACTTGAAAAAAATCGGTGAATGCAGAACATACGGAAAGCCCATTTTAAAAAGTCGCTGATATATCCTGCACACAAGGTACCAAATTTAATAATTAATATAAATTTTATATGTTACCAATATTTCCAACATTGCTTCGATAATCTTACAAAATTATTTGGAATGGATATTTATCGATAATTAATAATGAAAAAATTAAATTCAATTAAAGTTTTTCCGTGGTACCTAAAAAGTACAGTATTAGGAAAACGGACAGTACTATAAATTTGGCAAAAAAAAACTAAATCATCATCAGGGAAAATATTTTCAACTTTTTAAATTTTATTGGGAAATGGGTAATTGCGCCCCTTGTTGGATATTTGAGACTCCAAAAGAATTTCCAGTATTTCCTTTTGGCCGATTTACTTAGCTTTTTTTAATAATTTCTAATCCCAATAGGTTTACCTAAAAACGATTTTATCCAAAGCAATTTTTCTTGTCTTCGCTTGTCTCAATAATCTTGCTGAATTTTTTTTACATTCTTATTTTAATTTTCATTTTCTTATCGTCGGCTAAACCTTACTTACTAACTCCAGTTACCGCCCCAAGGGTTAGGTGTCGTTTTCATTCATCTTAGAGCTCGGGTTATCAGCGCGTTCTTAAGAAACACAGCGGCCTCTTCAGTACACCCTTATCCCGATCGACTTAATTAAAACCCGACCGTATCAGATCACCACTCGAAATGATATGGGGTAAAAAAATGTGCGACGCTTGCGTCGACGTCCCCACGCGCGCGTCGCAAAAAACGCAAAAAATGAGTTTTAATTAAAAATAATTTGACGCCCTAATTCGGCGTCATTAAAACGCGACGGCGTACCCCTTCAGACATAAAATTCGACCCGGAGGGTTAACGATTAATCTTAATTATAAGCGGTGGCGGTGGTAGTGGCGATGACGGTGGCGAAAAAGATGCTGGCGATGAGATAATTATCACCTAATAATATGAAAAATAAATAAAAACCGGCCTGATAAATATACGTTAACCGCTTGTTTCCGAGGGTAGCTGTTGGAGGGGAGGGGTAATCAAAATAAATTATTATCTAGGGATCGAGGAAGGATGCCGTGGCTGGGAGGTGATGAAATCCGACGAAACCCGGAAAAGATGAAAGAAGACGTCATATTACTTTAGGTTTTCAAAGTGTGTGAACGGTCAAAACAGTGTCAACAAAGTCTGGTGCCGTCTTAATTTTTCAAATCAGTGACCTCATAAATCCAAGAACACTCACATGCACGCACTTACCTAAATAATTAGTTTCCTTAAGAAATATTACATATATAAATTCGACAATAAGCAAAGCAGCATAAGCTTTTAGGTTATTGCTGATTTTGAACCGGCTTAACTTGTCTACTAGTAATATTTTGAACTGATGATATCCCGAAATGCATCATACGTGAAAATATCATACAACTTTACGGGGAGGAGACCTTTACAGCCACCAAGTTTTATGAAAAACTAAGCCTAAACAAATCTAAACAAAAACGAAAATATTATAATAATGCCAACAGACAAAGGAAATGCTACAACATATTTGGAAAAAACAACTAAGTCCAAAATTCTCGAATCATCAATAAACGAGGATACAAAGAAGAAACTTATTCCGACGGAAAAATCGAGTCGTTGTCCAAAATCCCTAGGGCTCCCAAAGATACACGAGGACGGGGTTCCCCAAGCGCCTTTAACTCGCCAGTATGCAAGCTGGAAAAAACATCTGGCCAGTGCACTTCAGCCCATAGTGGAAAATTTCACTCTGGGAAGATTGGACCAGGACAGCTTTTACAAAATATATAAAATGTATTTATTTATTTATCAACGGGCCATCCGCCCAATATAAAATAAGATTTACATAAACAAAATACCAAAAAACAAAATAAAATAAAAGACAACGAAAATAAAATGGAATGACATAGATAGATAAAGACCCAACCCTAGTATGACAAACATTGGTTTTCCAAAATATTAATATTAATATAGGAGTCGATACGACACTAAGAACACATACAACAGTAGCGAGGCATGAGCACATTGTTATACAATATTACTTAGAAGTCTTTTAGTTCTTTTTTAAATATTTTTGCACTCTGGAAGCAGTCAAGTTGGTCCGAAAAGCGATTTTCCAGTGCGGCTGATCTAGTGAGAAAAGAACTTTGTCCATAGTTACTACGATGGAACTTTAAGTGGAAGAGTGGTTTATTCTGGTCTGGCGGAGAATCCATGGGAATTTGAGTGCAGTAGATTATACAAAATGGTGAGATCCCTATGCATACGACGAATCTGGAGAGTCAAGTCCTGAAGTCCTCAAGTCCTTGGTGCCCCTTAGATGCTGCACTTTCTCTATGTGGACGTTATACGAAGGTGACCACAGACGTGAACAATAATCCAGGTGTGGACGCACGAGGGAGCAGAACAGTAATGTGAGAGACAGAATACTCTGGAAGTCCGCTGTACAACGCTTAATAAAGCCCAAAATCTGAAGTGATTTAGACACAATGTGTAAGTCAATTTAATATCGAGTAACACTCCAAGATTATAACGGAGGCCTGCAATAGCGATGACCATTTTGGACGTTTCTGCTCAGGTTGAAAATATATCAAATTGTGCTCATATTTTGAGAGGTAATGGATATGCTATACCAACATTAATATTATTTCAAGGCAGAAAGGAAAGTTGAGGAGGGAAGAGGCAAGAAGAATAACTTGTTAAACATTTTAGTATTTGCTATTAATATTGGTATTGGTATTAAAATATGTAACCGATATTCATTCTAACGAAAAGGAGTTGCAAATAATTCTTGCTCATTAGTAAATGGAAAAGTTCTTTCAAATTAACTTTTTTTTAATGTTGCAGAATGACTGGAATCGAAAACATAATTTAAAATATTGCGGGAAGAAAAGTCAGAGCTTCAAGGGAAATCCGACAATAAAGTTTATTAAGGCCAACGAAAACCCTCGATGAAGGCGGGAGATACGCAATATTAAAAATTGCCTAGCTTGAAAATTCCTTTAACGATTAGAGAAATTATGGAAAACCTTTATTAATATAAATTTTGCTTGGAAAAAGCATAACCACAAAGTCCTTTTACTTGAGAGTAATAAAGTTGTTTGCCGGCGAAAAAATACTCCATGAGATGTGGATTAATGAGTGTAATGTGATAAGAATATTACTACTGCGCGTCAAGCTCTTAAAGGACCATCGTAAGAAGATTAATAATGGTAAATGTTGAAAGCGGCGATGGATTCCAAAAACACGGTTTATTGTCATTTTAGCGCTCTCGAGATTACTTGGTAGAAATGTTAAAATATCTACTGACTCAATAGTGGTTACGAATAATGCCACCTTTTTTATTACCCACAAATTTTGAATGTAATGTAGCACGTTAAAATTAATTAAAAATCAAAATTCCATAACGTGTGAATTGGCCTCTTTTCGTATTGCCCTCGCTATCGGTCATCGTCTTTGTTTCAGGAGGAGGTGATCCATAAAATTAGGGCCACAATTAGACGAATCAAGTACGTTTTTCGGTGCAGATGACCCCGAGCCGTCACGTAAAAGTAACGAATCGCCGGCCCCCCCAGAAAATGACGAATTGTCCGACCCGCCACTTTCCCGCCTCACCCCCGGACGCGAACAGGAGGAACAAACAAGGAGGAAAAAATTAAGACTGAAAAATCGTGTTTCGTTTTGGTTTACCCTTTCGGGGCTTTTATGTACTGGATATTACGGTACGTATAATTATTTTCGTCGCTTTTATTTTTCATTTTTTTATGGCGGCGGGAAACCTCGCACCGCAATTAATTTTTTTGCGGTTAACGATAATTACGGGCGTTGAGGATGTTTGCGGAAGCGGACGGTATGCCTCGCGGTAAGTAAATGGTCATAATGGTTACTTTTGTTGCGCATTTTATTTATTTATCATCAAAATTGGGCGCATTTGCTATTTGCTGTGAGTTGTTTACGATATACCCTGTATAAATAATGGTGTCATTAATTAGTTCTCTGTCCGTTCCCCATTCTTCAGTTAAGGTGTTTTGAAAAATTATTGACCCTCTGCTACGAACATTAACAGATCTTCTTCTCCTCTTGGTGTGCCTATCCGTTCTGGATGTTGGCGGTAAGTAAGCGTGTTGACAGGGAAAACCAATTTCTAAAGTTTTTCCACCCGAAGATTCTACATCTTTCAGGTCCTCTCCTGTTCAACATCGTTCCTTGAAGTATCAACTGAAGCAGACCATATCTCTTTTGGTTCCTCCAGATATTCTAATTTGCGTGTGTTAATGATGTCCACTATTTCGGTGTCTTTCTGAAGCATTTTCGAAAACTGTCTTGTTGGAAACGTGATCAATCTAGGAAATTCTAAGGATTCGTCTGTAGAGCTACATCTCATAGGCTTTAAGTTTCTTTGTGGATCCTTGCGTCAATGTCAAGCCTGTCTAGTCCCCATAGCTTTTATGAATCCAAAGTGTGGGTCAGACAAATTTTTCTTCGTTTTTATTATATGTTGGCTTATGAATTATTTTCAGAAATAACTTGAGAAGGTGGCTCATGATACTTATTAGTCTATAATCCTTGCATTGTTTTGCACTGGTATCGTATATATGGTTAAATATTTTTGTTGGCCACATCATCCCATCTCTGTCCAGAAGTTTCAGGAATTTGCACGGACGTCATCTGGCCCTGAAGCTTTTCCAGCCTTCATTTGTTTGATGGTCTCACACACCGCGCCAGCGGCAATAAGCTGGAGTTGATTATTCAGATGTCAATTGTCCTGTCTTTATCAACGACGATCTTAATTATTTACTCACACCATTTTGGTTGTGGCCCTAGCGGGGTGTTTGAGAAGTCTAAAGGGGCGGCTACATAGCGCATGGTGCGCAGAACCTCTCTGATGGAATCCACTGGAACAATAATTGTCTACTAACTTTTTTGATTCTTCCGCTGCGATGTCATCCGCTAGCTCTTTTTATTGCGTTTAGTTTTTTTGTGGTATATGAGCAATAAATTACGCTTATGGAAACAGACGTAATAATTCTATGTATAACAGAATATAAAAAACTAGTCACCGTCAGGTTCCGAGGTGTTTTAGCAAAAGTCTCCATTTATGAATTTGAACTGAGCATGTATTATCAGCATTATCTTTAGACTTCCCACTCTCCATTCCGTAATTTTTTAGCCTTAGGAAAACTATCATTTCCATAAAATTTGCAGCAAATCTGCGCATTCGGCATTTCATCGGCACGGTTAAATTAAAATAATAAAGTTACGGATGAAGAGAAAAAAAAGAGGCGTTTTACGACCCTTGCAGACGAGCAAACCCTCGCCAATAAAATTAAGTACACCCATTACTAATATTTGCCGGCTCTGGCAAATCGAGTCCGCTTGATAAGGAGATTTGAATTGGGTCGACTACGAATTAATTCACGGAAATTTCAACCGCGTTTTATTTCGCCTTTTTTCGCTTCAACGCGGCGGATTTTTTGCTGCTCTTTGCTTTTATTGCGTACAAATTGCCGCTACTCGCTAGGATGTCTAGCCTCGCCTCGAGATGCCCGGATGGAGCACTACAGAAGGCTAGGACTACCTATTAAAGTGACAAAAACATCATCTAAGGTGCGTCGATGGATTATATAGTACAAGTTGATTTCAGGGATATCTGTCAAATTAGGAAAGTGTTTTTGATTCATTAGTAACCTCTATTTTTAATCAGCTTCTAGTTTCAAGTTGTCGGGGACACCATACCTCTAGAAATGACAACAATGTTTTTTTTAGCGGCATTTATTTTATATCAAAGCATAACTTCGAGATGTCTGGGTGACTACGGGACCATGTTGCAAAGGCAGTTTCTTGCCTCTCATTGTTATCCATGCCAATTACCCAAGACGATGTCTATGTGGAGGTCTCCGGTGTCTACTATTACTTCTTGCGAATTACATATCACGGATTCTAACGATGTATAGCCTTGCCTCAAGGTGTTTAAATGACCACGTAGTGGGCGGCGGTTGTCTAGTGCTACTTGTATATGCTACAAGATGGTTTTTTATCATTTGCAACCTTCATTTATTAATGTCTTGCTTCAAGATAGATGCAGGAGAGTTTTTTGCTTTTGCGAAGAACCTTAGGTGTCGATCGGCTTGCAAAGCAAAAATGAAATATTAAAATAGATTAAAAAAAAAACCCTTGTTTTCGTTTCAGATTCGCCGTGACGCTGGGCGGTGCAAAAAGCAACCCCGACGGCACAATGGCGCACGACAGGAAAACGCCACAATGGATTCAATAAAATTCATGACGCTGTAGTTTTGGAAAAATAAACGCTCGCCCTTCGCGTTATGTCGTTTAATTTCCGCGCTCGAGGACGGTGGCGGGGTTGGGGTGGCTTTAGGGGGGGCGGCACCGCCGCCTCGTCGTAATATTTTATAGTATTTTAATAGAGTAATGGAGATTTCGGGCGGGCGATAAAAACGGATTGTCCGCCGTTTAATTTAGCGCCGCGGAATAAATGAAATTCGGTCGCCGCTTCATCATCGGACGGCGACGACAGACGATAGCGCGTCACGATGTTTCGCGAGATATTCAATCTGCGAGTCGTATGTGTCAAGATTTGCATACATATGAAAATATTTACGCGTCTGGGAATATGCTTTCCGAACCTAGTATGTATTTTCCGCAATATCCACTGTTTGTAAATAACAAAAGCGCCGCGACGCGTGCTGATATTACGCCGCTACAAAGAATGTTTTCGAAGCCATATGGAGAGGGAATTGCACTCGTTCGATTCACAATTTTTTGAAACTCTGCGTTGGCGTTTTTTCCTCCTGTTTCTAGTAATGGGGTGAGTTGTGACCGATACGTAGAGACGATTTTTCCCCAGCTTAGCTATATTTCCGCGACACTATTAGGCCTCTGATCTGTCAAATTTGCCGGTTCGACAATTCGGAAGCCGGACCGACCTCCGATTCGTCGATTTCAATGTTGGCAAGTCGGGATTAGTCCGTGGTCTATTGCAGTCACTCAAATGCGCCACTACGTAGGTCAGTGACTTAAAATGATAGATGCAACATAGTTGAGTATACTTTAAAAAGCTATGAGTCAAACATTCTTTAAGTACGACGTTGTTACTTTAATAGCAGATATTTTTACTGAAACAGTTTCAATCAAGCTCTGAAGAAGTCAACAGGATGATTGGTGAAAAATGTCTACTAAACTTTCGTCTATTTATCGGCATCGACCTAATGTTAATTTAGTATTTGGACAATTGGATGTCTAGACCAGTCGGAGACTTTTTTCCAATGGCTTTACATTTTTGAAACAGCAATTTTCTTTGTCCACAGTAAAAGGCGCCATCGGAGTTACTTCATGTTTAAAGCCATGTTCCATGCCTCTGGGTCACGAGAAAATGACTATGGTTTAGAGTCTTGGAGCAAATATTTAGTTCGATATCGGAGACCTGATAAGATACTATGCCACGGTTTTTTTCCTTCCTTTTTCTGTTATTTTCTATTACTTAATAATACCAATTCCTCTTTTTATTCATGTGCTTGGGCTATCTGAGACGTGGCTAGTTCTAGATACTGTTCAGGCCTCCATTTAACAACGAAAATATAATAATAAAAAATTTCATAGAATTTATTTGAAAGCGCCAAGCGTAGATACACATAATTCTAAAGAAAATAAAAGAGGAGAAATGGAGGGGGAAGGAAAGGAAAGGAAAGGGGCACATGTTTTGTAGAAGAGCTTAATATTAGTGCGTACGTAACAACTGCTTTTTGAAATTTTCCCTAAACGTTGAATTGGACTGATTAATATTAAAATCAGTAATAGAGTTAATGCAAATGCCTATATTAAAGGAATATGATCTTTTAAATAATTCTTTGCGGTGACGGGGCATAACTAGTCGGTATCTTCCACACAGATTCAAATTGTGTGTTGATATGTTAAGAGTAATTTTTCTGTAAAGATAAAAAGGTAATTTTGTTTTAAGAATGTTGAAATAAAGAAAACTCATTCGTAATTTGCTTCGAAGGTGCATAGTAAGCCAACCAGACGCAGCAAGGTACGGGGAGATATGATCTCTCCTCCTTACCCCATAAATTAGCCTTAGACAGGAGTTTTGAACCTTCTGGACACGGTAACGATCGGACGCATCCAGGCACGGTCCGTACACAGCACTGCAGTGATTAAATTGTAACAGAACAAGTGATTCACACAGCAACTTACGAGTTCCCTGACAAAGTACATGTCTATTGCCATACATTAATTTTAAATTAGCATAGGCAACCCTTAGTTTATTAATAATATGTTCTCTGAACCCCAACTGCGAATCAAGAGTGAGAGTGGCAATTTTATGTAATTAAGTTTAATTGTTATGTTATACTTTGCATGGGTAAAATGATTATCATTTCCAAAGAGTATTACTGAAGATTTATTAGGGTTAAGCTTTAGGAGGTGATCTGTTGCAAATTTTATAAATCAGTATTGATGACATCCTCCGCGGTAGCTATTTCTTGAGGAAAAAATGAGCAGTAAATTTGAGTGTCATCCGCAAAAAATTGATAGTTGTATTGGTGGAGGGCTCCAATGAAGTTAAAAGTAAAAATAGTGTACAACAAGGGACCAAGAATGCTGCCCTGTGGAACACCCATGCGAACACCTAGGAACGTTGACTGTTGATGATTGTAGACAACCCGTTGTGTCCGACCTGACAAAAAGGAGCACAGAATTTTTCGAGCACCTTCGGAGAAACTAACGTAATGCAGAATGGCCAAGAGAATTGAATGATTTATCATATCCAATGCCTTACTGAAATCCAACAATATTAAAGCCGTTATCTTTCCATCGTCAGTCGCTCTAAAAATGTCGTCAGTAATGCAGCATTCTACTCTCACAACTGTGATTAGGTCTAAAACCGGACTGTTTCTGTGGTAGAATATGATTAGAATTTAAAAAGTTTACCATTTGATCGTTCATAATTCTTTCAAGTACTTTGATAGAACAGGCAATATGCTGATTGACCACAGGTGACTAAATTCGCTTGGATTGTTTATTTGTGGTAAGGGGATGACTTGTGCCCGCTTCCATGTTGACGGAAAGGACGACTTTAAGATAGACTCATTTATTATATGCGTAATGTATGGGGCAATATATAGACAACAAAGAAGTATTAATGGTATATTTATATCATCATGGCCCGCAGCTTTAGATTTTATATTACTCAGAATGTTGAGAATCTCATTTTCCGTGGACATATTATTATAATAAAAATTCAGCAGTTCTTGATTGGGGTTTGATTCTCCACACTGTTTATAAAGAAATTATTAATTTGATCGACATTATCTAAGTGATTTGGCAAAGTACCCCTGTTACATTTTACAACATTAAGTTTCCTTAGTTCGTTCCATTTCTCTTTGGCATTACTATGACAAAACTTAGTTCTTAAATAAGCTTTTTTCTTTGATCTAATAGCCGAATTTTATTCAAGTTTAGAATAATACCTGTACAGTAATAACGAATTGGAGCAGCTTTGGATTCGTGGTAAGGTGAACGGCAGAAGTATTTGTTTCGGCACCCTCTATCGCCTCCCAAGCGCTAATTTGGTTGCCTGCTTGGATGATGTTGAGGATGCTCTGACCGTTTTGATGCCGCAGTTTGAGCCTGGTTAGGAGCAAGCTTCAAACGTCATATCGAACTTATCGCTACTATACTAACCTTAATTACGATTTATGATCATGATTAATTATTAACTTTAATTATGATTTGCTCGTTGTTCCTTGGAATATTGTTTATAGTATGACTGATGTTGATGAGATGCTTTCTTTTGCTCATACCAATATTTATGCTCCCCTGAAAACATCAAAGATAACCAAAGCGCCAGCTCCTTGGTTTACTGATAATTTGAGACTCGTGAAACCACTGATAAATAAGACCTTGTCTAAGTACAAAAAATTAATGGCTGAGGCAGCAAAAAATGAATATAAATACTTGCTCTTTCAGAAATGAAAAAAAGCTTATCTAAGTTATAAATTTTCCGCAGATCCCAAAGGCTTCTGTTAGAAACCGAACTATTTGAACATTAATGCAGATAGTTCTCCACATTTAATCATTTTTTTACTGACAGTGTTCCGCCTCCTGCTGGTGAAGACCAGGCTAATAAAGATATGATTTCGGAGTTGTATTTAGGTCGTGTTTATGATGGAATTACTAGTCAGCTTAAATTTGCAACCCTAACAGAGGCGAAGGGTGTGGACGGCCTCGATGTGAAAATACTTTCTTACCTTTGGTGACGTTAATCATTAACCAATGTATTATTACCAGCAAATTTCCCTCATTGTGGAAGGAAACTAATATAATTACCTAATAAATTAGCTTACTCTATGTAATGTCTAAAATATTGGAGAAGGATATATTATCAACTTAATAATCATGTTACTGATTCGAATATTTTGCCTGCTTGCCAATCTGAGTTTAGGCCCGGGCCCAGTACGACCACAGCACTGCTTAATGTCACTGATGACCTTTTTAGGGCTCAGGATGTGTGACTATAGCAAAGCCTTCGATACCTTAAATCATAGTCTTCTTATTTTGAAGTCAAAGTTCTTCGGTTTAACCGACACCGCTATTGCTTTTATGAAAAGTTACTTGGAAGGTCGCCGGCAGAGGGTAACGTTGGGATTAGCGGTGTCTGCCGACTTTCTGCCAATTCTAAGGGGAGTTTCGCAGAGCAGCATTTTCGGACCTTTATTGTTCTTTATTTACACCTCTGACTTTTCTAGGCATTTAAATAAATGCTGTTCTCATAAGTATGCAGATGATATGCAAATATACTCATCATTGTGATCGAAGATGTAGGTTTGTCTTACAATGGCATAAATGAGGATCTTGAAGTAATTTCTAGAATCACCAAAACCCATGGTCTAAAATTAAATGATTCCAAGACCCAGGTTGTTCTTTTTAGTAATAAAAAAGAAGAAATGATCGAGTACAAAGATCTGAAGCTATGAATGATACTCCGCTTGAATTTGTCGACAAATGTAAAAACTTAGGTGTCTTTCTTGATAGTAAGCTGCTTTTTGATTCTCTCATGTCTACTGCAGAAGTCCTACGGGAAACTGAAAGTACTTTACATGTATAAAGACTACTTATCTACTGAGATTAGACTTAAATTGTGTGAGCCTCTTATACTCTCTCCATTGGGATATGCGGACGTTGTATACTGGCCGGCTCTAAGACGGATAGACCAATACAGCTTACAAAAATTGCAAAATGCCTGCTTGAGTTATGGTTTGCGTAAATTTGATCAAATAACGCCGGCAATCTGTCTGAAAGGTATTACTAGCTACGAAAAGAGCCGGTATCTCTATGATAGGCTGGTCGGGGGTGTGCATATATACATAACAGGCCGACTCGTCACCGTAACCTGTTCTGTGTTCCCAAGCATAGTACGGTTGCGTTTCAGAGCTCTTTCACATATAACGTTATTAAAACTTATAATTTAAAAATAAATTAAAAGAGCTGGTGAGATTAAGGAGAGTCTGAACCGCTTTTTTTATATTTGTTTTTTTTTGCTTATTGTTTTTCTTTTAGTCATTTTTGAATATTGCATTTGCTTTTTTCCGTTGTCTATTTTTTTTCTTTTTTTTTATCCTCTTTTGATTTGTTTAAAATTGTCAAATTGTGAATCTTGGGTGTTGAGAGATTTATTTATATTTGTTAGTTTTTTTTCTTGTCAATTCGCAATATATTACTACATCGTATCGGTGGTTAGGTGGAGTAGCGCTGCTAGACCTCGCCACCTGTTCAACTCGATTGTAGTATATTCTTTTTGTTTTACTTTAATAAAAGCTATTTATTATTATTATTATAATTATTATTATTATTATTATTATTATTATTATTATCATACTTGAGGTAACACTTTTGTCGACGCTTCAACGAGCTAAATGTCCGGGTCAAGAGGACAATATAGGAGCGCAACAAGTTACAAAGCGTTCGTAAAAATCAAAGTAAATCGCCATATAAAACAATTATCGTTGTTTGCCGTTATGCAAAACACAACAAATAAAACCGGGATAAATTGGGTTGAAGCGGGACTCTACTCCAGACAATTTCCGGGGACTGCCAGTTACCGGAGGCCGGCACCCCAATGGTCGCCGACGGAACGCACTTGAAACGTTGATGGTGCAGTCGTCTCAACATTATAAGAGGATGATAGAAAAGCATTATAGAATCCGAATTATTCAAGACCATAATAATACCCTAATAATCGTTTAAGATGGAATGTTCGTGACAATGGCTGGAATTTCTAGTATAACATTTTAATCCTCTCTTGTAATTCCGGAGCCGACTATATAAAAATTTGACCATTTTCTTCCACTTCGTCAAAAAGATCCTAGCGTTAATCTAGAAAGCCGGGGGTGAAAGCCCGGCGATCTTCGACGGCCTTGATTCAACTCTTGCCGAATGGGAATTTTCGCGCACGTCTCCCCTTTCAGTGCATTCCAGGACGTCGCGTCGGAATCATCCCCCCACGATCGCGCGTTCGCCTCCCCCCTTTGGAGAATTTCATCGCGGTGGAGAAAAAAGACGGGCGTAACTATAATCGCTTTCTTATTTATTTATTATTATAGACAACGTGGTCGACTACGCGTTGGTGTATTGTTGGTGGTATGTGCGCGTAAGCAACGTTGCATATTCGCCGGCGTCCCGTTAAAGGTGAGCGTAGTAGTTTTTTGGCCATCGTTATTAGATAATTTCGATTTGACCGGAATAAGTTTTTAGTTATAGATCAAATTAAAAAACAATTCTCGAATTTATTTAAATAGTAAATTTGTAAAATTAAGTCTATTTTAATGGGTTTAGGTTGGAATATTCCCGACTGTCGACTTCTTATTTTAGTTAATTAATATTAAATAATTAACATCCTCGAAACAAATAAAATTTTAATAGCTAGGAATTTTTCTAGCCATAGCTTTTTCTTGGCGACTTCTTTTCGCCACAAGGTAGCTTTTCAGAGATGGCTAGAGAACTTATCTAAAAAAAATCTATTAACTATTAACAGTTTTCTAATAAATCAAATTAACACAACATAACGAAAGAATATCAATCAATCAATCAATATCCTGTTTGTAGCATAAGCAATGATCGAATTGAATAGTTTTAGTAACGTATACTCGGAGCAATTGTCAATTTTTAATATGTTATTAATAATAACCAATAATTAATAAGATCAAAAATGTAAGTTATCAAAACGAAGAACTTGAAACCAGTTGCCAAAATCCGTTTTAAACATCTGTTTTGGTATTGTTGTGGGATTTCTAGGCGACTTGATTTATTACAAAATTGACAATCGAGCAGTCATTTTGAATGCAAACGACACATCTTTGAAAACACAATTCGATGTAGAATACAAACTTGTAAAATTAAGCAAGACCGCATTTGAAATAGCAAACTTGCTAAGAGTCAAAACTTAATAACTTGCGACCAAAAAGCTAATATTTTTTTCAAATGAAAGCAGGTTTTGAAAGATAAACTAGTTACTATTGTTTCGTTGCAACTATTTCAAAGCTATATACTTGCTACCAGAAGGAGAATATTTTAAATAAGCAGAATACTGTTCTGTTTGGTCGTGGACACCAATCTGCTTATGTAGTCAGGAAATTAACTCCGATTCAAACGATCAACAACCCTTTGGAAGCCCGGAACGCGGATATCTTCCGGGAGTCGGCCACGACCGAGTCCATTATTTTTCGTCGACGATCAAAGGGTGCTGTGCGGCCCTTTGACTGCACCGACAGCAATTTCTTTCGCTTTATGTACACTCTGAATTCAAAACGTGACGTTTCCCAAACGATAATGCCGGCGTTAATAGTCGGTTCTCGGTCGCCGCGTCCCCGTTATAGTAACGCTTCTAGCGTTCTTTCGCTAAATGAAAAAGCAATAAGGTCCCACGGAGCTAGCGGCAACGGGCTGTCGGATAAAAATCCGCTTTACGACTCCAGGTATAGAGGCGTTTCGGCTATAAAAATATATCATGGATAGAACGGTCGACGTAGTAGAAAGCAATCGAATCGGCCATTGTCGGAAAATAGAACACGATTTGCACTGCCTGTCCGTGTCGATATAATAAATATATTAAACATGCCACGTAATGCTGAGGGTAAAAAAATATACAGGGTTATCCGCTATTCAGGCCTAAGTACAAGGTTATCGTAAGGTTTTAGTCCCCCGGATATGCTAGGGGATGCAGAAATTAGCTATATCTACTACTATAATACCACTAACTATGTAAAGATGCTAAAATTCTATTCCACGTCATAGAAGAGGACTTTTCGAGCGTGCGTTTATATATTGAGTTAGCTAAATTATACAGTAACTCTGGGAAAGCTCAGTCTCCTCCTTTTCCAAAATCTGAAAGAAGATTCTTATTTGCTAACTTTACTAGTATGTATTATATTCCTTTTTTTATAGTTCAACATTTCTTTTATAATCCTAGATTTCTATCCTTGTTTTTGTGTTTGGAAAGGTAATTCAATTTTGGAATAAATATATACTACATTTTTTTACAGATTACTGTAGAAATCATCTCAAGCATCCGCTTAACTTGCAGTCTTGTCGATTTATTTTCTATATTACATTTTGAGTAAAGATTTTATTATTATTAGATATTACTATTATTATTATCATTATTATTATTATTATTATTGTTATTATTTTTATTATTATTATTATTATTATTATTATTATTATTATTATTATTATTATTATTATTATTTTTTCCTTTCTCATCGGAAGATGGAGTCCTCTCATGTCGGCTAGGTGAGTAGCAAAACATGAAATGTGCGCTATTGAAGTTGAGGTTGATTAAGAACTCTTCTAATTATGTTGCAGGTAGCTAGTACCACAGACTTCTGCATTTCAAAGTAGGCGCCTGGTTTTACGGTGAGTGTTGTCAGGTTGGTTCTGAGGGACTTTGGTATTTCTCCCATTGCACCGATCACTATAGGAACAATGTTAACCCTATCGACATGCCATGTCTGTTTTATGTCATCCGCTAACGGTATGTATTTTTCTCTTTTTTCACGTTCTTTCTTCTGCAAGTTGTTAGGTGCGGGAATTGCAACGTCGACGAGGGTCACCATCTTATTTGCCTTGTCATAAATAAGAATATCTGGCCTGTTATGCTGGACAGTGCGATCGGTCTGAACAGTCCTGTCCCAATATATCCTAAATCCCTCATTTTCAAGCACGGATTCTGGTGAGTATCGGTAGTATGGACACTTCTCTTTTAGAAGTTTAAGGTTGAAGGCTATTTCCTGATGGACTATCTTGGATACGTTGTCGTGTCTTGTGGTGTACTCCTTCGGGGCCAGCATCCGACAACCACTGATGAGGTGCTCAACATTCTCATGGCCCTCTCCACATATGCGACAGTTCGTTGTTGTTACTGTCGGGTCCTTGATTATGTGTTTAAGATAAGACCGAGTGGGTATGACCTGATCCTGAATTGCACACATGAAACCCTCAGTCTCGGGGAAAAGGTTGCCGTTCGTTAGCCAGCCAACTGATGCGGGCTTGTCAAGGTCAGCACTGTCAAGCAAGTTTGGGTATCTGCCGTGTAGTTCCTTTCCCCGCCACTGGGTCTCAAGCTCGAAAATTGAATACTTAGGGTCGCACTGATAGTGTGTGGCCTGCAACATGAGGGGTGTAAGTGATCTATCTAGACCTGTCACTGCTCGGTGGAGCGCTGAGCTCTCACTTTTTTGATGGAAGTATTTCTGCAGCCGCTCCACCTGGGTTTTGTGGCATATTCGCAGATCCGAGAAACCCCTGCCTCCGATGTTTCGAGGTAGATGTACCCTCTCTCTGCCAGCTCGTGGGTGGTGAGCGCGGAATTTAGTTAGATTTGTCCTTAAGGTTCTATTCAGATCATCAAGCTCTGTCGGCGTCCAATCGACGATGCCGAAGCTGTACGCCACTGCAGGGACGGCGTAGGAATTGATTGCAGTCGCCATGTTACGGCCTGCCAATCCTGTTTTTAAGATGTGCTTGACTCTCTCTTTAAATCTCTCCGTGAGCAGCGTCTTGACACTTTTAGAGTCTATCCCTCGCGCCTGGGCAAGACCTAGGTATTCATAGGTTTCAAATTTATCCAGCGTCGTTATTTTTCCACCACCACTATGTTGTGTAAGCTGATGGCCATCCATCTGACGCCACTGTCCTCTATGAAGTCTGCTAACTTTACATTTCTCCAGACCGAAACTCATTCGAATATCATTTGAAAAGTTCTCGATGCATCTGAGCTGCCGTTTTAGTCCCTTCTCGGTGTCCGAAAATATCTTGAGGTCGTCCATGTACATTAAGTGGGAGAGCTTAAGTTCTTTATTAAGTGGATATCCTTGTTTGAGATTATTGAGAGCGGAGGAGAGTGGGTTTAACGCTATTCAGAACCAGAGGGCACTCAGAGCATCGCCCTGGAAAATACCTCGTTGGATTTTTATGCTGATCGGCTTCTCTTGCGTCCTCTGGTCTCTCTGAATTATTTGCGTCTCCCACTGGCCCATAACATGCGTGAGAAAGTTAATGATTTTGGGGTCGACTTTATAGACAGAGAGGCACTGTAGCAGCCAAGTGTGCGGAGCACTATCAAATGCCTTCCGATAATCAATATATGCAGTAAAGAGATTCTTCTTGGAAGCTATTGCGTTGCGGGTGACAACGTTGTCAATTGCAAGTTGTTCCTTACAGCCCTGTGCATGCCTCCTGCACCCCTTCTGCTCTTCAGCCAAAAGATTGTTATCATCCATGTGTTGGTATAGTTTGTTAGCTATTATTCCATTGAGAATTTTGTATATCGTGGGCAGGCACGTTATGGGTCTGTATTTGGAGGGATCTTTATTTGGGTAGTCTGTCTTTGGGAGAAGGTAGGTCATCCCTTTCGTCAGAAAGGGTGGCGCAGACTGAGGGTTGTTCAGTATCAGGCTCAAGATGTCAGCAAGTTTGGACCTGACAGCGGTGAATTTCTTGTACCAGAAGTTCTGTATCCCAACGGGTCCGGGGGCTTTCCAGTTTTTAGCTTTCGCCAGGGCTTCCTTTAGGTCCTCTACGACGATCACCTGAGGCAGCATGAGTTTTATTCTTTCGGTCTCCTTTTGTTCGCACTTTATCCACTCAGCCGAAACTTTGTGATTGAGAGGGACCTGCCAGATGCCACTCCAAAATTCCCTGATACTTTCTGGTTCCGGGTATTGGCCCGGTGGTTGATGGCACCAAGTTTCTGCAAAAAGGACCAGGGCTCCGGTTAAAGAGGTTATTATCCACTCTTCTATGCCATGATTGCTGGTATCTGCGCAGTCTATTTGCGTATACCCGCAGTTTCTGCTTTAGCAGATCCAACATGTCGACCACAGTATGGTTTCCAGAGTCTCCGTATTTTTTTTGCACGTTATCGGCATGCTTTTTGACCCGTTTACTTGGTTTTCTGGGTTCAAGGGTTTCAGTGAGTATACCGATCTCTCTCCTCAAAGTCGCAATTTTGTCCTCTAGTCTTCTCTGCCATATTATTATTATTATTATTATTCTTTAATTCACGCAGGTAAGTACGGGTCAAGATTCCAGTGTCGGCGAAGTGTTGTCACAAAACACTGGATTTTTGCGTCTAATGTTCAATGGCGATTTTTTGGTTTAACACCTTTCGCATTATGTTACATTATTATTATTATTATCATGATTATTATTATTATTATTATTGTTATTATTATTATTAAACAGGCGCACCCAAGAGTTCTAGCTGTTTAATTTTTTTAATGAAACCATAAATAGCATATATGGATTCGACGATAGAAATAAGTGTGTTTTAATAAGATCTACGTTAGCTGAAGTTTTACGTTCTTTGAACAATTTTAATTTTTTCGAAATGTAACCTCATTTTTATTTCTGAAATAACTGTGTGAGGTGCTTAAGTTATTCAACTCAAACTTGAAGTAGGATGTAACAGTGATCCATATAGATTTTCATATTTCAATTAAAAACTCTCAGCGTGAGTAAAACTTTATTCTAATTGACTAAGAATGTTAGGTAATCACAATTTGATTAATTTAAATGAAACGCCAATTTTTGAACTTTAATGCAGCAAATGCGAAAATTGCGGCCATGCCACTCAACAAATGTATTTGTACTGTTTCGCAAAAATGTATTCAAAACCAATAAACCTATAAAAAGTAGGATGTATGTGGTTGTCTCCAACACGTAGACAAACTTCTTCAGCCACTCCGCTGCATCCCGCTCGTACCAATTCAAACTCGTGACTAAAGTGTATGTGATTTTGTCTCATTTTGTTATAGTTATGGTATTTTTTGTAATTTTTGAAAATTTGAATGCTATCGTTGTGCTATTGTTTAATTCATATGAAAATTTATCCAAAGGAAGAGTGATTTTTATATATTATTTTTATCCTTTTCAAAATAGTTTAGTTTTACGGTATCTTGAGCTAGTTACAATTAGTTGTTGATATATCACACATAATAAATTACTATTCAATTTTCTACCTATTTATAAAAATCTGTCTGATATAAACGTATTTTAACAAAAGAATATTTTATAGATATCATATTCTTGCCCAAGATGTAGCCACGATATCCCAGAATGATTACCATTTTTTAGGGCTGGAATGGGAATTAAAATCCGCCTCCGAATTCACCGAAACTTTAGATTACGTTTTTTGTTTCCGCGAAAACCTTCGTGTTTCGTAGTTCGATTAAAACGTAATCAGAACGTAAACTCTATCGGCAAGGAGGCGATCGCTAATCCGGGGGCGGCGGGGGTGGAGCGTCGGCGGCCTTAAATACGAGCGTTACGGAAATCGTCAATAACCCCAAAATAATCCTAAAGCTCCAATTTTTTTTTTGTCAAATTTAGCTGGATATATCTTTTGCCCAATGGTATTGTTACTAATGTTTTCACTGAGGACACAGGAAAAATCATTCGATATAATTTATTAATTTACTCTCCAAAAAATTGCTCATCATCTGTATCTCTACCCATCTAATTTTTGGAGAATTAGAGGAACGTTTAAAGGATAAGATTGACTTTGTCATCTTTAAAAATCTTTTTCAAAATTTTAACACAGGTCCTAAATTTTTAGAAACAGGACATATTGTGCAACACTGTAAGTAGTATAACTAGCATGGTTCTGCGCCCATTAGATAGCAGAATTAATAAATCTTTATTCAAATCAATGCGTCAAATAGCATATCTTTTCCAGACGCATCCCGAAATGTATATTTACCGGGTGGGATGGGGAGCGTTTCCCTTGCTTAAAATTATTCATAACTTACTTCTCGACCCTGTCTAACACGCGTCGCTGAAAGTAATACGACGCCAAAACTAATAAGAACCCGTGATCGATTTCGTAGCGGGAAAAGCTCCGATGAGATAACAGACGGTCTGAATGAAGACGTAGCGGATATCTGTCACATCCTTTCAGCGGCGGAAAAGCGGAAAATTCGTAACGCGCGAAACGTTAATGTAACTCGCATCGGATGATGCGAACGACTTCTTTATATTACCCAAAAATGAAAGGGAAGTAAGGGTATATATTGCGTCACTTTCAGAGTCCTTTGGCTTCGCATTTTTGATGACTGGTTGAGTCGGGGGTTCGCGTTGGATTTCATATTCGGACCCACTGAATTTAAAAACTCAACTGACTAGATAGTTATATAATCTTTTGCAGTAGCCTATTGAGAAATCCATTGTGCTAACTTGGTTACTTCGTGGTAGTCAAGCAGCTTCGTTTCGATCATTCGTGCTTTTAAGTTGTATATTAATCGAATTATTGTTTTTGTCTCCTGTTCCCCAATTTATGATATTGTAAGAGATTACCGAGTATTTTGAGTATTTTGACACTTAACCCGTCTAAAAGACCTACCCATTGGCCTACACTTAGGATTAAATATATGTTGATTTTTTTACAATACGAGGTTAGCGCCAAAATGTCCCGGCCTGACACAGATGCAGCTCCAGTATAACGATAACACTTCGTATTCTTTTAAATATATATCTTAAAAAAACATTGAAGTCTTGCGTCAAATAGTTTTTTATTGATAGCATTTTAAACAAGACGTGTCCGAAAAAATGTCGCAAATAACGCAAATTGAGTATAGAGCAGTCATAAAGTTTTTGACAAAAGAAGGGTTAGCACCTAAAATTATTAAAGAGAGGCTGGATGGTGTGTACGGCCAAAGTTCTCCTTTGTATTCTGTACTGAAAGAATGGGCAAAACGTTTTCAGATGGGGCAGGAGTCCCTTGAAGATGATTCAAGAACTGCTCGACCAGTGGAGGTCATAACGGAAGATATTGTTGCGATTGTGGAAGAGGTGGTATAGAGTGATCGACGTTTAAAGATCAAGGAAATCTCAGAAATTACTAAGCTTTCTGATGCAAGTGTTCGTGGAATCCTGCATGAGGTTAGTGCAAGATGGGTTACTAAAAACCTTTCGGCTATTCAAAAACAACGCCGTGTCGAGTGTGCGCGGTCTTTTTTGAAACTCTGTGGGTCGGAACCGAAACCTGTGATAGAAACTATTGTGAAGGGAGATGAAGCTATGGTTCTCTATTATGACCTTCTATCGAAATAAGAATCAATGGAGTGGCGTCGTAAGGGAGAGTCTAGAGTCAACAAAAAAGGTGATGCCCACGATCTTTTGGGATTGTGAAGGAATTCTTTTGATATATTTGAAAGAAACTAATACCACTGTCAATGGTAAATATTATTCAACATTATTACATAAATTGCGAGACTGTATACGTGTAAAACGTCGAGGAAAACTGCACAAGCTGCCATTTTTGATTGTGAGTTTCAACAGATAGATCTTCCTCCCTATAGTCCAGATATGGCCCCCAGCGACTATTATTTGTTCGGATATTTGAAAAAGGACTTACGTGGACGGCGGTTTAACGACGAAATTGAGTTAAAAGAGGCTGTTTTAGCTCATTTTGCAGACAAACCAAAAGAATATTTTTTTAATGGGATTGAGTTGTTAATAAAGATATGTAATAAGTGTATTGAAGTTAAGGGGGATATATTGAAAAATAATAATAAATTGTTACTCTACTTTGTTTCTTTCATATTCAGGCTGGGAAATTTTGGCGATGCGCTCGGAAGTCTGATAATTTATTATAGGGATTTCGTCACTAGTTTTGCCGTGATTACAATGTTCGTATAGTTTAGTATTGACGTATTTTTTCGCAATCGTGATATTCTGGGAGGTCAGCTCTATAAGCCATAAATTACGGAGGGCATAATACTTCCCCTGGACGGTTCTGAGTTCAACACTATACGGATGAGAATAAGAATTCTTAACCTTTATCTCTCCGCGTCTCTACGCACGAGTTCATGTTTCCTCTGACTCCGAGTTCTTTTTTTATAGAGACGTGGTTTAGCGTTTCGAACGTTAACATTGGGAGTACTGCTTTTGATTAATCCGTTTGAAGCATTGGAAATACAGTTGCACGAGATTTTGACCGTTTTTTTGCCTGTAAGTTTACGACGCGACATCCAATGAGACGGAGGAAAGGACGAGGGTTTAACAGGACGAGATCCACAACAGACGCGCCGAACTTTGGATTTATCTGGTTGTCCTCGGGGCTGAAAGTAACAGACCGCAGGAGGTCGACCCTTGAAATTTGCGACCCTTCGAGGAGGGTGGAAGGAGTTATTTTTTTAAAACGTCCCCTTTTAATCCGCCGTAATGCCGGCGGTAATTTAAACAGTGGCGGAGGCAACACACGGAAGCCGTTAGAATTGTACGCTCATGAATAAAATATCCGCACAAACGAACGAAGACTCTTGCGACGCTTTTATTTGGAGCTATTTCCGTCCGGGGAAGCCAAGAATTTTCTTTTCAATTTAAAATGGGGGAACTTGATTCAGCCCACGCGGCGGACCCGAAAAAATATAAACTGAACTGTTTACTGTTAAACGTGATCAATTTGACAGCGTTGCCGTTTAATCGCCGGTATTGCTCTCAATTAAATTATGAGTATCCTAGAATGTGTGGATATTTAGCAACATTGCAAGGTCATCAAACGCTACGATGTTGCTACGAATCCAATGGTTGCTGACGTCAGTGTGTTAGTTTCATTTTAGTGATTCAATGTATTGTATCTTTTGCTGATGTTTTGTACAGTATATTGTACAGTGTGCTAGAAAGCTATCCATTAATATTCAAATTTATTATTATTTATTTATTTTTGTTGTTTTTTGAACTTTTGCCGTTGCGCATTACTCCGCAATCCATGCGACAGGTTCATAAAAACAGATAGAGGTCTTGTTCTGAATTACAGAATTGAATCCCCCTATATCAGTGGTCGGCAACCTCTTCGATATGCTGAGCTACTTTGCTAATGTTGGAATAAACATTGAGCTACCCGCACGGAAGCCACGTAACGCAGCGT